AACTACAACACATCGCCAAGAGTGATTACATTGGCATTTCTGCGGACGAGAGCACGGACAGTCGGCGAGGAAAACTTATCATCGTCACTTACATCAAGGAGACGCAGGTCGTCACGGGGTTTTGGCCATCCTGACAGTCGAGAAGTGCGATGCAACATCGTTGCAGTCTGTTCTCGTCGCACATCTACAAGCAACCAGCCTCAAGCTGAACAAGATCATAGGCATCAGCATAGATGGAGCATCCGTGATGATGGGTGAGCGAACAGGAGTCGTTGCGAAACTCCGTGCACACATCCCACACCTTCTTTTTCACATTGCATTATGCATCGGTAAGCATGTCAGCCATCACTTCCACATTTGTATTGCTTCATATGCACGCTTTTACACTCTCTGCCCTAAAACTTCGACCTGTTATCCATCAACCCCGTTTCCCCCTTGCCAATATGGAGGCACTTGCAGCTAAGGACGCGACGAGTCTGGCAGCCGAGTTCACTGTCATCGATGCTGCCATCCATGCTCTCTCCGACATTCTTGGCCGCAATTCGTATGGAAGAGTCGCTTTTGCCAGCTCCAAGAGTCTCTCTGCAGTACAAAAATAGAGCTGCAAGGGATCCTTAACGTGCGATGGCTCTCCCGTAGCGAGGCGATCATGCGCTTTGTCAAAGTTCTCCAAGTGGCAATCGTCTTTCTGAAGGGGCACAAGCACCCGAGTTATGAAGTCATCAATAGCTTCAAACACAACTTCATGCTCGTTTTCCTTCCAGACGTCTTGAAGGAGATGAATCACCTGAACAAACTCTTCCAGCGTCGCCAGGTGACCAATCTAAGAGAACATATGCGCCTTCCCAGTTCCATGATCCTGTTTTGTACAGTAACACGTGCCTGACATATTACTACATTACCCTCTTTGTGTGCCCTCGTCCCCTCACAGGTCGACATCACCCTGGTCGTTGGAGAAGTGGAGACGACATGCCTCGTCGTGACCCAGAGGTACAGTACATCGAGTACCTCGATGTCTTCGGCAACGACGAGTCTCCTCTGCTGAAGACCTTCCTAGAGACATATGGCTTGGGCAATTGGCGCTTCAGGGTGGAGGGGGTGGACGAGAATGGCGACGCGATGGTGCACACGTTCACGATGCACGAGCGCAATCTCGAAGGCTTCCCAACAAGCAACATCTAGGCCTCCAGCATCCAAGTATCCAGCGAGTATGCTGTGGCCCTGAAGGTCAACCTCAAGGCGCGCAAGGAAAGAGTGAACACATTACTTGCTCTCTCAGTCCATCGAGCCAGCATGCATTAAATACACAGTGCGAATTGATGGAAAGACTGAACACATTACTTAAAGCGCGGATCCCAAAACCCCCGAAAGTCAAGTCCTATGCTTTTTAGATCCAACCTCCGTTCACGGGGTTACCCGTTTTGCCGGGCGACAACCCAAAATCCAACAAGAACGCCACTGATTGGCCCCCACTCCACACACACCCCCTCCCTGCGAGAATCCCCCCTCCAATCCATCGCCCACCTTCCCCTCCCGCCTCACTCTCGCCTTGGAGCCGCGTCGTCTGGCGAAAAAAATCGCCCGTAGCATGCGATTTAAAGCAGTACCGTCCTCCCACCCTTCCCGTCGCGACCAGCCCTCTTGCTGCTTGCGCGGGCCGCTGTCTGTGCTGACCGCTGCTCGCGCTCGCACTGCCCGCTGCCGCTGGCCGCTGTCCCCTGCTCGTGCTGCCCGCTGCTGCCCGCTGGTCGCGCTGCCCACTGTCCGCTGCTCGCCGCCCGCTACGCGCCGCCCGCTGCGCTCCGCCCGCTGCTCGCCGCCCGCTGCGCGCCGCCCGCTGCTACCTGCCCGCTGTGCGCCACACGCTGCTCGCCCTCTGCTGCCCGCCGCCCGCTGCTCGCCGCCCACTGCTCGCCCACTGCCCGCCTGCTGCCCGCCCGCTCGCGCGCGCGCGCAGCCGCCAGCGCAGCCGCCGCAGCCGCAGTTGCAGCTGTGAGGAGGGGAAGGATAGAGGACGGATAGGGGAAGGAAAGAGAGGTGGCAAAGGGGAAGGAGAGAGGACAGAAAGGGGAAGGAGAGAGGGTGGGAAGGGGAAGGATAGAGGACGGATAGGGGAAGGAGAGAGAGGGCGGGAAGGGGAAGGAGAGAGGACGGGAAGGGGAAGGATAGAGGGCGGATAGGGGAAGGAGAGAGAGAGGGCGGGAAGGGGAAGGAGAGAGGACCGTAGGGGGAAAGAGAGAGGACCGTAGGGGGAAAGAGAGACGACCTTTGCCCCTGAACTCATGCTCGCCCCCAGCACCCATGCCTTTCCCTTGTTATTGGCGCCCTCCCTCAACCAACCACCTTCCTTTCCCCCAGGAGCTGGCAGCCTTCCGAGAGAAAAGGCAGAGAGAGTGAGGGCGAATTTTGTGCCCTTCCGTGCCCCTCTCATTTCCCTCAACCCCAGCGTCTTCCCCTCTCTTCCTCTCCGCTTCCCCCTCTCTTCCTCTCCGTTTCCCCCTCTCTTCCTCTTCGCTTCCCCCTCTCTCATCTCCCCCTTCTCCTCCCCCCCTATCCCCCTTTTCCCCCTCCCTCTCTCCCCGTTTTGTTTCTTCCCCCTGTTTTCATTCCTCCCTCCTGCTCCCATTGTCTCCCCCTGCTTTCATTGCCCCCCCTCCCATTCTCTTCCCCTACTTTCATTGCTCCCCCTCCCATTCCCTCCCCCTGCTTTCATTGCTCCCCCTCCCATTCTCTCCCCTTGCTTTCATTGCTCCCCCTCCCATTCTCTCCCCCTGCTTTCATTGCTCCCCCTCCCATCCCCCCCCTCTGCTTTCATTGCTCCCCCTCCCATTCTCCCCCTGCTTTTATTGCCCCCCCTCCCATTTTTCTCCCCCTGCTTTCATTGCTCCCCCTCCCATTCTCTCCCCCTGCTTTCATTGCTCCCCCTCCCATTCCCTCCCCTTGCTTTCATTGCTCCCCCTCCCATTCTCCCCCTGCTTTCATTGCTCCCCCTCCCATTCTCTCCCCCTGCTTTCATTGCTCCCCTCCCATTCTCTCCCCCTGCTTTCATTGCTCACCCTCCCATTCCCTCCCCCTGCTTTCATTGCCCCCCCTCCCATTCCCCCCCTGCTTTCATTGCTCCCCCTCCCATTCTCCCCCCCCTGCTTTCATTGCTCCCCCTCCCATTCTCCCACTGCTTTCGTTCCTCGACCCTGCTCCAGTTCTCACCCCTTCTTCATTGTTCCTCCCCTCATGTCTTCCATTTCCTCCCATTCCTCTCCCTCATTCCCTTCTCACCCCATTTTGCTGGTTTCAGGACGGGCACGGCTGCCCTGGGGACATGACCTTTGGGTGCGCTTCTCTCCCCCTTCTTCTGCCTTCCCCTCCTTCCACCTTCCCCTCGTTGCACCGTTCCCTCCTTCCACCTGTTCCTCCTTACCCCAACTCCCTTCCACTCAGAACCTGAGTACCTTGCTCCCCTCCCCCCTGCAGTCATGCTCAGCCTGAGCCTATCTCAAAATCGCTTGAGCTCGTCTCTCCCCCCCCCCCCCCCTCTCTCTCTCTCTCTCTCTCTCTCTCTCTCTCTCTCTCTCTCTCTCTCTCTCTCTCTCTCTCTCTCTCTCTCTCTCTCTCTCTGCCCATCTCTCTGTCCATCTCCCCGTCATCCCTTGCTCCCATACTCCTCCCATTTCCCCCTTCCCCCTTCCTTTCACTGCACGGATAAACTCTTGCAGGGGGTGCCATTTTCACCCGAATTTTAGCGCATATTCGCTTGTATAGATTTTAGGGGAATTCAGAGGCGCATGCTGTTGGAAATGTCTCAAAGGACTTAAGAGTTTCTGAAGTGTAACACTACACTCGAGGAAGATCGCAACGGGTACGCGAGTCAACGGAGGTTTTACGAGGGGATGTGCAAAGAACGCGAAGGGACTTGAAGAGTCGCAACTGGAGGTTGCGACTGACCGTTACAACAGCGCGGATGGTAACCGAAGCGACAATCGAGTCGCTGTGCGACTCGATAACCGCTCCTGCAACTGTATTCTACAACTGCTTTACTTTCCTATTTTCTATATATTGCTGTATGCTTGTTTCTTTAATCAATCACTTGTTCTCATATACTAGTACAAGGGTTCAACTACTCAACTTCCGCTGCACTACTCAAGTCTCATTCTACAACTGGGACTCAGTCTCTGGAAAGATCCTAAGGGCTTTTCTCAGCCCAACACATGCTATGAAATGAAATTTATAAGCCCATGTGCTAACAAAAAGGGATTTGACTCGCCGTGTAATATTCGTACCACTGTTTCTTTGTGTCCCTACTGCTGGACCAAATATGCAAGCCCATGCTCGTGGTGTAATTTTGGTTGTAGGTTGATTACATGGTTGTCTTTTGTTTTATTTCGTATCTTGCACATGGCCAGGTTTTTCACTGTTTCTTCTAGCATAGTGCGCTCCCTTGTGGTTTACTGTACCGCATATTTTGGTGCTGGGTGTGCTGGTGTGGGCTGGGCGACGTCGTGTAGTGCCAATTCGTCGCCTGGAAGGGCTGGCGACACTGCTCATGCCGGGCGAGGTGGGGCTTTGTTCGAGAGGCCTTCATTGCCCCTTGCGTCCAACCCACTTCCTTAGCTGCGTTTCATGAGTCTCGCGAATTTCGCCAAAATCCCCAAGTTTTTGACCTCGGGGGTTTTGGGATCCGCGCTTTAATCCGACTCCAAAGGGTTACCCTTAGAGACACCCTGTACAAGCTAGGGTGGATGCGTCTGGCACCCTCATGCGAAAGGGTTCTCGAAAGGCCTGCCTCTGACATGAAATGGCTCCCTAAACCTTAGGGTACAATTCTCAGTTGTGGCAAACCACTTTGTGGCAAGTTCTATACAGTGGAGATTCCAACCTGGGAGACATCATGAGCGCCTATAGATTTGTGGCAATTTTCCTGCCACAGGCGAGGAATGACCCTTAGCCTGAGTCCTGGTTGAGACCCTGGTTACAGGTTCAGTTGGTCGAACGGATTTTTCTGAACAGGTCCTCCAGGTGGAATTCATAACGAGCAAGCTGAAACCAGAACCAGCGTCTGAAGCGCGACTTGTCGGCAATGGCGGAAGTAGTAGTCATTGTTGTCTGGAACCGATTGTGAAACCAAGTTGCCAGTATGTTTTGCTAGGGAGGCTCGCGTACGACTCTACCTCTTATCGTACTGACTGCCAATCGCCGCTGGCAGCGGGCGAAGATGACTCGCGGCCTCGCCTTGCGACGGTGCGAGGGCCTTTTTCAAAGAGTTGCGTCGCGCGCTGCTGGGTCTGTATTGAGAGAGTCGCACGGCTCGTCTTACGCTTCGTGGGAGTCGCATGGCTGGTCGCACGCTCCGCGCGAATCACGCTCGCATGATGGTCCGCAGCTGGACCAGTCCTGTTCCCCTCCCTTCCGCGCTATACGTAGGAGCAGGAAATTCAGCAGCAGCAGCAGCGAGAGAAGCGGCGGAAACAGCAGAGGCGGCGACAGTCTGTCGCTTCCAGGGGTGAAGCACATCGTTGCGGTGGCGTCAGCTAAAGGCGGCGTTGGCAAGTCGACCACGGCTGGTGAGACTGACTAGCGGACCTTTTCCACTCCCCTCCCACCCTGCCCACCCCCCCCCCCCCCCCCCCCCACCCCCTTCCTCCCCACCGTCTCCCCTTCACCATCCCTCTTACCACCCCCCCCGCCTTCCCCCACTGCCGGTAAGCGTCCCTTTTCCCTTCAGTGTCGCGCTTCGAAGTATGTCTACTAGAGGCTGACGTCTTCAGCGTCTTCCCAACCACCCGGCCTCGGATCCGCCAGTCGTCCCCCGTCTCGCCCTCGCCTCCGCGTCTCGCAACGCGCCCCTGCTGTCTGTCACTGCAAGCCTGCGGCCCGCTCTGCATGCCCATGGGCCTTCCTCGTCCTGCTCTGCTCGCGCCTCCCTTCCGTTTCACTCATTCATCTGTCCTCTCTCCCCCCTGCTTATCTCCTCCCATTCCCCCCTCTAATGAGCCTGGCAGTAGCCCCCTCCCACCACCTGCACCTGAGAGTCGGCCTGCTAGACGCTGACGTCTTCGGCCCCTCCCTGCCTAAACTACTCGGCTCTGCCTAGTATCCGCCGCCGGCCGCCCCCTCCTCGCCCTTTCCTCTCCCGGTCCTCCCATGCTGCCGCTGCAAGCCTACGGCCTGCACTGCATGCCCATGGGCTTCCTTCCTCATGCCTGCTCAGTGCTCACGTGTGTTCCCCTTCCTACCCTCCCCATCCCCCCTTCCCAGTGAACCTGGCCGTGGCTCTCTCGCACCATCTTCGCCTGAGAGTCGGCCTGCTAGACGCTGACGTCTTTGGCCCATCTCTCCCCAAGCTGCTAGGCTTGGAATCCGCCGGCCGCCCTCTCCTCGCGTCCCCGTCCCCTGGTTCGCCCATGCTGCCGCTGCAGGCCTACGGGCTGCTCTGCATGTCCATGGGCTTCCTCATGCCTGCTGACGTGGCGGCGGTGTGGCGCGGGCCCATGGTGATGGCGGCAGTGGAGAAGCTTCTAAGGGGGACAAAGTGGGGGCGGCTGGACGTGCTGGTGGTGGACATGCCGCCGGGGACGGGGGACGTGCAGCTGAGCCTGAGCCAGCGGGCCAGGCTGTCAGGTGTGTGCGTGCGTGCGTGCGTGCGTGCGTGAGTGAGTGAGTGAGTGGTATGATTGGTAACCAGGCTTGCACCTTCAAGGGGCAGACAGTGGGGTGGGGGACTTCAGATGTGTTGCTGCTGGTGGACATGCTGCTCGGGACAGGGGATGTGCACCTGAGCTAGACTCAACGGGCTGGGCTGTCTGTCAGGTATTACTGTGACAGTCGCACAGGTGTGTGGAGTTGATGTGACGATGCGATGCCTGGAACTGGGGATGTGCGGCTCAGCCTAGCTGAGCCTAGCTGAGCCTAGCTGAGCCTAGCTGAGCCTGAGCCTAGCTGAGCCTAGCTGAGCCTAGCTGAGCCTAGCTGAGCCTAGCTGAGCCTAGCTGAGCCTAGCTGAGCCTAGCTGAGCCTAGCTGAGTCTGAGCCAACGGGCTGGACTGTCTGTGTGGTAGCAAAGCACGGGTATCATATCGTGTGCTATCATTTGCTACACCTCATTTGATCTCGCCTAGCAACCTTCCCACCCCCCATCGTTCCATGCTGCATGCCACGAGCACCTGTTCACACCGCTAGGGTTGGTGGTGATTGTGATGGTGACTCAGAAGTCACTCCTAGGGGTGGTGATGGCAGTGTGGTCGACTCCTCAGGACCTACCGCTCATGGATGACTTTTGAGTCGACTTGTTAATCCATATTCTCTCCCCCCGGCTCCCCCCTTCCTCCCTCCCCCAACAACACCCTACCTGCGCATGCTCCCAGGCGCACTGATAGTGTCGACACTGCAGGACCTAGCCCTCATGGATGCGCGCGTGCATGTTGAGTCGATTTGTTACATTCATCCGTCCTCTCCCCAAACACCCTTCCTGACATCCCCCCCAGGCGCGCTGATAGTTTCGACACCGCAGGACCTAGCTCTCATGGACGCGCGCAGGGGAGTGACCATGTTCCGCCAAGTGAACGTGCCGGTGGGTGCTGTGGTGATGGGTATCTGGCTGGCTGGTGTGGGTGGTGTGATAATGGGGTGGTGTGATGGTGGGAGTGAATGTGTTAGTATTCCTCCCTTTTGTATCTTAATCTCCCATGGACTGCACGCGACTATTCCTCTCCCTACCCTCCGCTTGTTCACCCTGGTCACATTGGTCTGGTTGAGAAACTTCACCTGTCCCACCCACGTGCACCCATCGCCCTGATATCACATCTTCGGGTGTGCCGTGCACGGTTCACTGGCACTCCTCTCGCCCGTCGCATACCTGTCTGCCTTGCAGGTCGTCCTATGCCTGGTTGAGAGCATGAGCTACCTCACCGGGCCGGCATGCTCCTTTGCTCTCATGCACCCTTTCTCTCATGCTCCTTTGCTCTCATGCACCCTTTCTCTCATGCTCCTTTGCTCTCATGCACCCTTTCTCTCATGCTCCTTTGCTCTCATGCACCCTTTCTCTCATGCTCCTTTGCTCTCATGCACCCTTTCTCTCATGCTCCTTTGCTCTCATGCACCCTTTCTCTCATGCTCCTTTGCTCTCATGCACCCTTTCTCTCATGCTCCTTTGCTCTCATGCACCCTTTCTCTCATGCTCCTTTGCTCTCATGCACCCTTTCTCTCATGCTCCTTTGCTCTCATGCACCCTTTCTCTCATGCTCCTTTGCTCTCATGCACCCTTTCTCTCATGCTCCTTTGCTCTCAGGCACCCTTTCTCTCATGCTCCTTTGCTCTCATGCACCCTTTCTCTCATGCTCCTTTGCTCTCATGCACCCTTTCTCTCATGCTCCTTTGCTCTCAGGCACCCTTTCTCTCATGCTCCTTTGCTCTCATGCACCCTTTCTCTCATGCTCCTTTGCTCTCATGCACCCTTTATCTCATGCTCCTTTGCTCTCATGCACCCTTTCTCTCATGCTCCTTTGCTCTCATGCACCCTTTATCTCATGCTCCTTTGCTCTCAGGCACCCTTTCTCTCATGCTCCTTTGCTCTCATGCACCCTTTCTCTCATGCTCCTTTGCTCTCATGCACCCTTTATCTCATGCTCCTTTGCTCTCATGCACCCTTTCTCTCATGCTCCTTTGCTCTCATGCACCCTTTCTCTCATGCTCCTTTGCTCTCATGCACCCTTTCTCTCATGCTCCTTTGCTCTCATGCACCCTTTCTCTCATGCTCCTTTGCTCTCATGCTCCTTTGCTCTCATGCTCCTTTGCTCTCATGCTCCTTTGCTCTCATGCTCCTTTGCTCTCATGCTCCTTTGCTCTCATGCTCCTTTGCTCTCATGCTCCTTTGCTCTCATGCTCCTTTGCTCTCATGCTCCTTTGCTCTCATGCTCCTTTGCTCTCATGCTCCTTTGCTCTCATGCTCCTTTGCTCTCATGCTCCTTTGCTCTCATGCTCCTTTGCTCTCATGCTCCTTTGCTCTCATGCTCCTTTGCTCTCATGCTCCTTTGCTCTCATGCTCCTTTGCTCTCCCATCTTCATCTGATTCCTGCTGCCCCTCCTCCCTCATTCTGCCCATCCTGCCATGTGCTGTCCCTCCTTAACCCTCCTTAACCCTCCTTAACCCTCCTTAACCCTCCTTAACCCTCCTTAACCCTCGTTGACCCTCCTTAACCCTCCTTTACCCTCGTTTACCCTCCTTAACCCTCCTTAACCCTCCTTAACCCTCCTTAACCGTCCTTAACCGTCCTTAACCGTCCTTAACCCTCCTTAACCCTCCTTAACCCTCCTTAACCCTCCTTAACCCTCCTTAACCCTCCTTAACCCTCCTTAACCATCCTTGCCCCTCCTTGTCCCTCCTTGCCCCTCCTTGTCCCTCCTTGCCCCTCCTTGCCCATCCTCTCATCTATTTCCCCAATTCTCGCCCACCAGGTCCTCGGTCTGGTCGAGAACATGAGCTATTTCACCTGTCCGGAGTGCGCCCATCGCTCGCACATCTTCGGGCATGGAGGCGCCAGAGAGGCAGCGACAGAGCTGGGCATCGAGTTCATCGCTGAGGTGCGTGTGCTGTGTGCTTTCTCTCCGGCGCTCTGACAGTCTTAGTACAGGATGCCAGGGTCGCACAGGTCCAGAAGGCTGCGGCAGAGCTGGGGATCGAGCTTTTTTCATTGCTGCAGTGGGTGTGCGTGTGCTTTCCCTCCACCGCTCTCTGACAGTCTCTGTACAGCATACCACAGACTTTTGAGGCGCCTCAAAAGGCATACCACAGACAAACAGGGCCAAACGGCTGCGGCAGAGCTGGGGATCGAGCTTTTTTCATTGCTGCGGCACGTGCGCGTTCTTCCCTGCTCGCCTCACGCCTAGGCAGTGGTCCCGCCTGTGTAGTCGTACTAGCACATCGAACACGAAGGGGATGCTGTACTGCCTGCTTGGTTCGGACAAAGCTGGCTTTTGAGTCGACTCAAAAGTCTTCTGTCTGTGTAGTCGTTCTAGCACATCGAACACGAAGAGGGTGCAGCCTGCTTGGTTGGGTTGGGCTTGGGACACAGCTGGGAGGCAACAGCAGAGCTGGGCATCGAGTTGAGTTCACCGCTGAGGTATTCCCCTCCCACTCCATTGAGCTGACGGTCTCTGCACGGGCAACCAAGAGGGTACGTACGGCATGCTGGAGACATGGAGGGCCAGAGGGTTCGCAGTCTTTAGCAGAGCGGGCATTGAATTCATCACAGCTTGTCGTGTGCCTTGCCCTAGCTTGCCCTCCCCTCCACCCTAGCTTGCCCTCCCCTTCACCCGATCTTGGCTCCAGCTGTTGTAGGCTCTGTTGCGTTCGTTCTTCTCCCTTGTTTGTCCTTCTCCTTTTCCTGGAGCCCCCTCCCCTTCCTCCCCCCTCCCACCCTTTTTTTCACCTCCGTCAGTCTTCCAGAAGACTTCTCACTTCACCCCCCCCCTCAAGACTGCCCACTCCGCATGCCATGCCATCTCTTCCCCTCATGACTGCCCCCGACGGCGTTTGACTATTTTTGAGGCGCCTCAAAGAAGAGGCTCCTAAAAGCCATCTCTCCCCCCTGCCTGCGCCACCCTCCAGGTGCCTCTGCTGCCGTCCATCTGCAGTCGCCCAGGCAGCATCAGAGGCGCACCCTACACCATTCTTGTCCAAACCACCCACACCCACCTCCCACTTCCCATCACCCCCCCTGCACCACCCTCCGGGTGCCTCAGCTGCTGTTCATCCGCAGCCAATCAGATTACGTCGGAGGCGCACCCCAATTATCTATCCAAACCACCCACCACGCGCCTCCCACAACCCCATACCATCACTCCCCACACACCCACCCGCCAGGTGCCTCTTCTGCCGTCCATCCGCAGCAGATCAGACAGCGGGCACCCCGTTGCTCTTGGTGAAGCTGTTGCAAGCGAGGGAGAAGATTGGGGGGCAGAGGGTCCGGGAGCAGAATGTGGGGGAGCAACAAGGGGGGAGGGTGCAGGTGGTGAGGCGGCGGTGGTGGGGACGTATGAGCGCATGGCTCGGAGGGTGTGGGAGAAGCTGGAGGAGCAAGCGCAGGCGGGTGGGGCCGCACAGGGACCAACGATAGTGAATGACTGATGGGAGAAGAGAAAGGGGCCATTTGAGGACAGTGCAGGTGATAAGCTGCTATGTCGGAGTTGTGGGGTGTATGAGCCATGGCTCTAGGGTGTAGGATTGGTGATGGTGACCTTTGGTTGATCACAACAACGATCGGTGTTGTACACGGATCAGTGTTGTACATAGTGTTAGAAAAAGAATTTGTTAAATTTGAAGCTCTGAAAGATGATCAGGATCCTTCTTTTTCTTCTTCGCCATCGAGGTACCGTATTCCCCCGTATAAAGCACCCTAGGGTGGTAACCAAAATGCCTATAAATTTTGAGGGGGGTGTAATTAGTGGCTAATTTTGCATAACGCCTGGGTGTTGTGGAACATGCGTATGTGATATTGTTTTTCCTAAACAAAGTGCACTGTCGTACTCTGCTGTATTTTGTTTTTTCCCTCGACATCGTGTACGGAAGCGGCGAAACATCAAACAGCCAACCCGTAGGAGGCATGGCACGATTTTCTTGGTGGGAAGGCAATGCGACCCGAAAGTCAAGTAGCGAACATTGAGTTACGAGGATTCAAGGGACCCACTTGTTCGGGCAGTCAAAATGGGTCTCGATTTTTTTCTGTGTCACACCTCTTGAACCGCGCTGTATACGATAGGTTCCTCGATAAGTTTCCCACTAGCTCTCACGCTCAGGTGATGGCACAGCAGCAGTGGTCGAAAAAGAGGGTATTGTCAAACATGTGTATCTCTTATACTTTGTATAGACTGTATAGGGTCATCTCTTAGAGGGTACAACACTTAGATATATTCCCTGTTCTCTCTCTCTCTCTATTCATTCATTCAGTTGCTAAGATGGTATCAGCAGTAGGTAGGTCCCGCTCACCCACGCTTCCGCTCTAGGACCTACCCTCCCTAGTTGCGCCCGCCCTAGCCGCGCCCGTCCTAGTCGCGCCCTGCGCGCCACCTCCCCTCGGCCCTAGCGCCCATCCTAGCCGGCCCCGTGCCCGTCCCCGGGATCGCCCTAGCGCCCCTCGTGCCCGCCTTCTCGGCCCCGCGCCCTGCCCGCTCGGCCCCTGCGCCCGTCCCTGTCGGCCCGCGCCCGTCCCAGCCGGCCCCGCGCCCGTCCCCGCCGGCCCCGTCCCTGTCCCAGCCGACCTCCGCGCCCTGTCCACTCGCCCCCTGCGCCCGTCCCAGCCGGCCCGAGCCCGTCCCAGCCGGCCCCGCGCCCGTCCTTGCCGACCCGCGCCCGTCCCAGCCGGCCCCCGCTCGTCCCAGCCGGCCCGCGCCCGTCCCCGCCGGCCCTGCGCCCGTCCCGTCGGCCCTGCGCTCGTCCCGCCGGTCTGGTGCCCGCTGCTCCTGGCTCCCGCGCTCGTCCTGCCCCGAGTTGTGTGTGGCCCGCTCGTCGTGCTTGCTCCGGCCCAGCACCCTCCCTGGTACGGTTCCCACTCACCCGCACCGCACGGTACCGCACTGCACCGCGCTGCACCGCACTGCACCGCACGGTACCGCACTGCACCGCACTGCACTGCACGGTACCGCACTGCACCGCCCTGCACCGCACTGCATCGCCCTGCGCCGCACTGCACCTCACTGTCCTGCACTGCTCCTGATGGCGGCGGAGCTTCGCTTCGACGCTGAAGGCAAGCCTCTGGAGTTCGAGGCGTGGCTCGCCGACCTCCGTCGCCACCTCACTGGCCAGCGGCAGGATGGCCACCCGCTTTCCGCACACCTTGACGGTACGCTCCCCTGCCCAGACCCCCCTGCTGTGCTGCCCGCTGACCCCACACCCGCTGAGCGCGAGTCTACTGCAGCCGCTGCCCTTGCGCGCTCTGTCTGGCTTTCCCGAGACGCTGTCGCCCAGCTTGCCATTAGCAATGCCCTTCCCCCGTCTGAGCGCCCTCGCTTTAGGTCCAGCACTACTGCCCAGGCTTTCTTAGATGCTGTCATCAAGCGCTATTCCACCCCTCCTGCTGCCTCGGTGGGTGACCTGATCCTCCCGCTGCTCTTTCCTGACCTTGCGTCTTTCCCCACTGTCGCTGACCTGGCTGCCCACCTGCGCACGATAGATGAGACCTGGCGCGCGGCCTCCACTGACGCACAGCTTAGAGACCACCACCCGCCCATTACCTCTACCCTCTACCTGCTTGCCACCCGCCTCCCTGACCGCCTTGCCGCCGCCCGCGACCGCTTCCTTAGCATCCACCCCGGTGAGCTCACCCTCACCGACTTTGTAGACACCCTGACTGTTATAGAGATCCGCCACCGCTCCATCGCCCAGGCGAGCGGTACTATGCCGGTCCTATCTTTCAGGGTTGTGCCCCCGCTCAGTGTACCTTCTCCCACGGTTCTGCCGCTATGGCTGAGACTGCTGCTGCCGTGCATTTCCGTCCGGGGAAGGGCCGCCGCCCCAAGGCTGGGCGCGGCGGAGGAGGCGGGGGTGCAAGTGGGAGTGGTGGTGGAGTCGGGTCGTCTGGTGCTGGAGCGGACGAGGGGACCCTGCCCGGTCCAGCTGAGCAGCCGCCTCCGCAGTCGCAGCAGCAGCAGCCGCAGCCATCGCAGCAGCCACCGCAGGCGCCGCAGACGAGGCAGGCGAGTGTCCTCCCGCCCGGGTGGCCTGGAGCTGGAGGTGGTCGTGCGCGTGGTGGTGTGCCGGGTGGTGGTTCCGGAGGCGTGCGTTGTCAGTACCAGATCCTGACCGGTCCTCGCCGCGGCTTCGTTTGCGGTAAGACCGGTCATACCACTTGTGAGAGTACGACCCCGTTACACCACTTGTCCCTTTTCTTCTTTTCCTTCCTCGTTCATTTCTCTTTATCTCATCTCATTTGGTTTCCTATTCTCCATTTTCCATTAACCTTTGGTTTATCCGGCTATTATAATTAACCTTTGGTTTATCCGGCAACAGTACTTTCATCCACGGTGAAGCCACGTGGCAGCAGTTCCGCACCGACCTACTGAAACGCTTCGAGCCGATAAATTCCAGTTTCCTTGCCCGGGAAAAAATTCATCGACACCGACAGTTCGGGAGTGTAGCGCAGTACACGCAGCAGATGGAGGAATTTTACAACCGCATTCCTGACCTGACCAAAGGGGAAAAAGTACAATCGTACCTCGCCGGACTGAAGACCGAAGTCAAACGACAAGTCGCAGCGTCAAACTTCCCGAGCTACAGTGACGTCGTTTCGGCAGCGGAGCGCTTCGACATGGTCAATGCCGGAACACTACAGGCGCACGTCGGCAGTACGCGACAGGGCGACCGCTCGGCTCACCCCACGTTCGCCGACCCGATGGAAGTCGACAGACTCGAGGGGCGGCCACGTCCGAAAAACACCAACTACACGTGTGATTTTTGCGGGGTGCCAGGTCATCGAATCTTCGACTGCAGCAAAATGAAGACCGCACGCGCAGAGTATCGGGCACGCAACAGTGGCGGAATTCCTTCAGCCAATCAGAAGTAAAAAAACGGGAGTCGTCAGTGATGGCGGATCTAGCTGGCGAAAATAAAAAGATCCGAAAACGGCCGCGGGATTCCGGAAAAATCAACTTCGACGAAGCTGATTCGACGCGAGAAGGAGGAAATGATGGGGGAAAATCTCCACCCCACGACCAGTCCTCGCCAGGGAAAATCGCCGAGGAAAAATACGACTCAGCGAAAAAAGACTCTGCCGAGACAGGGAAACTCCTTGAAGACCCAAGAAATTATAAGAATTCGTTAAAAGCTATCTTATAAAGATGCTTTAATGAAAACTTATGAATTTCGAGGGGCTAGAGCCTTGGAGAAATTTCGGGAGGGACTCCAAAAGAAGCAGACAACTATGGAGATTATACCGGTACCGGACAACTTGGGGACCAAATTAAGGAGTGTGGAAAGAAGCCGACCTTTCCACGGAGTCAACGTCCTCTCCCGACACCAGCCCACAACGACTACCCGTTCCCCAGGGAAGACGTCGGTGGAGCTGACGCAGCTCAAGAGGAAGCTGGGGGTCTACAAGAAGCTGCACAAACCCCGAATTCCTTGTCCTAGGGATGCATCCAGTTCTTCGGCATCAATGACGCGCACAATCGTCAAAGAAACTCCGGGCCCTGGAGAAGAGCCGTTCTCCAAGCAGCCTCGGCCAGCTGCCAGCTCAGGAGTAGATAGCAGCACACAGGTGTGTACGGAGTATTGGGATGTACCCTATGACCCAGTCAATGAAACTATCTTTGGGTACTTCGAGCAACGACTGCCCCTCGTGCTCGAGGTCATCTGCAAAGGACGACGCCTCCAAGCACTCGTGGACAGCGGAGCGTCACACACCATCTGCAACAAGGCAGTAATCGACCGACTTCGGGGAGAGTACAAGCCTTCAGGATTCTCTGCAACGATGGTGGACGGCAGCAAGTTACCAGTATACGGCGAAGCAGTGCTACACCTACAAATCGGACCACTGCGCTGGAGACCTGCACTCCCCATCACCAACATCAAAGGGCTTGACTTGATCTTCGGGCGAGACTTCCTGAAAAGGTTCAACCCCGAGATCAACTGGGTGAACCGCACCACAAGCATCTACAACAATGGACGGAGAGTACGGCTACCCAACTGGGACGATACTGGAGATATCCCAGTGGAGACACTCGCACGATTCGAGAAGGACGTAAAGCGGACCGACACCGGGTTCCTGGCGATAGCAACAGAGGTGGAGAATGACGGAGAGAAAGCCTCGGAAACTCCAGAAAAAATCAAGGAATTACTGAAGGAGTTCCAAGACATTCTTCCTGACGATCTTCCGAACGAGCTACCGCCATACCGAACGCATCAACATGAGATCGTGGAGGAACCGGGTTCGAAGCCGACCTTCCGAGCACCATACCGGCTCAGCCCTACGGAGCTGACTAACATGAAAAAACAGATCGAGTATCTCCTAGCCAAAGGACTCATCCGGCCATCCATTTCGCCATACGGTGCCCCAGTACTCTTCACCCCGAAACCGGACGGAAGCCTGCGCATGTGCATCGACTACCGAGCTCTTAACAAGCAGACCATCAAGAATAAATATCCGATACCGCAAATCGATGACCTGCTTGACCAGCTTCGGGGAGCTACGGTATTTTCGAAACTGGATCTGCGGTCCGGATACTGGCAGATACGCATGGCGGACAACTCTATCCACAAAACTGCTTTTCGAACTCGGTACGGATCGTACGAGTATTTGGTAATGCCGTTCGGACTCACCAACGCGCCGGCAACGTTCCAAGCTGAAATGAACCACATTCTACGACCACTTCTGGACGAATGCGTGGTGGTGTACCTGGATGACATACTCATCTACTCGCGCGACATGAAGCAGCACGTCGAACACCTGCGACGCGTCTTCGAAATACTTTGACGAGAACGATCCTACATCAAACTGTCCAAGAGCGAATTCGCCCTTGAAAAGGTCCAGTTCCTAGGGCACATGGTGAGCGCTCAAGGAGTTCACGTTGGCCCCAAGAAAATTGAAGCCGTACGTACGTGGAAGACACCCGAGAACGTAATGGAGTTGCAGCAGTTCCTAGGCTTAGCTAATTACTACAACAGGTTCGTGCCACAGTATGCGAAAATCGCAGCACCACTCACGAATCTGCTGAAGAAGAACACGCCCTACAAATGGGAGCCGAAGCACCAGGAAGCCGTGGAACAGCTGAAGCAGGCACTTACGTCCGCACCGGTACTCATTTTGCCAGATCCCGAACGCGACTACGTCATCGAAGCTGACGCCAGTGACCAAGCAGTGGGAGCAGTCTTAATGCAAGACCAGGGGAATGGACTGCAACCAATCGCCTACCTCAGCAAGAAACTACACGGAGCAGAACTAAACTACCCGATACACGACAAAGAGGCCCTTGCCATCGTCATCGCCTTTAAAGCGTGGAGATGTTATCTCGAAGGACGACAAACAACCGTCTACACCGACCACTGCAGCCTGAAATACTTGAAGACACAACCCAATCTTTCCAGGCGGCAGGTCCGGTGGATCGACTTCCTCGAGACACACTTCCACTACGACATCGTGTACAAGCCCGGTCACAAAAACAAAGCAGACGCTCTTAGCCGGCCTGCACACGTTGCCGCCATTCAGATTGAGGGGATGAATCCACTACTCAAAGGACTCTTCACACACGGGTACGCCATCGACCCCGAAATTTCCTTGGCAGAAAAGCGACATCTGCTACAGTGGGACAGTGACATCGCGTACCGGAAAGGATCAACAAAAATCTGGGTACCAAATTACCCTCCTTTGCGCCAGTTACTACTCGAAGAATACCACAACGTCCTGTACGCCGGACACTTCGGTAGCAACAAGACGCTCACCGGTATCGCCAAACACTACTACTGGCCCCACATGGCAGACGACGTCCAGAAATTCGTCACCTCGTGTGATACATGTCAGCGGATGAAGAGCAGCAAGCGGAAAAAGGCGGGACTACTGCAGCCTCTTCCTGTCCTAGAACAGCCATGGCAAGTGGTTAGCCTAGACTTCATCACCGGGTTACCACCTACCACCAGCAGTCATGACGCAATCCTAGTCGTCATTGACAAGTTCTCCAAAATGGGACACTTCATCCCGACACACACGACGGCACGCACTGAGGAGACAGCACAACTCTTCGTTCGTCATATCATCTCACAGCATGGCATCCCAACCACACTCATTTCCGACCGAGACCCCAAGTTCACCAGCAAGTTCTGGAAGGAACTTATGTCTCTTCTCGGGACCAAACTCGCCATGCCATCCGCATACCATCCGCACACAGACGGACAGACCGAGCGCCTCAACCAAATTGTTGAGCAACTCCTCTGAGCAGCCTGCAAGGACGACATGTCCAAATGGGACTTGCACCTGCCCGTACTAGAGTTTGCTTACAACAATGCTACGCATGCCGCTACTGAACAGACGCCGTTCTTCCTCTGCTACGGACGCCACCCACTCACACCACAAAAACCGCCAACATCCGCTACGGTACAACCTGCACATGATTTCATCACAACCATGCATCAGCTTTGGGATCGGACCCATAAGCGCCTCCTCGACATTCAGCAACGACCACACCATCACGGTGGGAGACCAGGTGCTTCTTGACACCCGCAACCTGGACATCAGCCACCTCCCATCTAAACTTCGACCTCGCTTCTGCGGGCCTTTTCTCGTTGAAGCACAGGTCACTCCTGTTACCTTCCGCTTACGCTTGCCAGCTACCTGGAAGATTCACAACGCCTTCCATGTCCAGCTTCTGAAGCCCTACCGGGATCCGAACACGATCTTCGTCGGACGCCAACCGCCGCCGCCGCCGCCCGTCCTCGTCCCCAATGAACCCGAGTACGAGGTCGAGTCCGTGCTAGCACACCGCCGATGTCGGAATGGCACCGTGGAGCTTCTCATCCGTTGGAAGGGTTATGATCCTTCTGAGGACAGCTGGGTACCTGAGACCGACATGGGTAACGCCCGTCGTCCTCTGCATGACTACCTTGTCAAGCAGGGTGTTACTTCTACCACCCAGCTTTGAGGGGGGGAAGTGTGAGAGTACGACCCCGTTACACCACTTGTCCCTTTTCTTCTTTTCCTTCCTCGTTCATTTCTCTTTATCTCATCTCATTTGGTTTCCTATTCTCCGTTTTCCATTAACCTTTGGTCTATCCTGCTATTATAATTATATCACCAACCAGGCTTGGGATATACTGGTGCGCTATCTGGCGTAATCCTGCCGTAATCCCTTAAAGCCAATAGCCTCGTGTGGCTATACGCAGGGTGATTCTATCTTCTAGAAGGGTCTATTCCCTTAGGATAAGATAAACCTGGTTACCTGATGTACTTTGGAAGTATAAAAGCGCCTTGTACTGATCCATAGTGCAACCTTTCCTCGACACATTCCATCCTGTGACACCACTCCTCGCTGCTTTCGTCGCCTCGACGACCTGTTTCGTCAGCGCTTCGGCCCGTCGCCAGACCTCCCGGACTGGCACAGTTTGCTTAGTCGTAGTATTCTATTCTTTTACTTGGACATGGATGCCATTGTTTCTGCTCTGCATGTGATGTATGCTGATGACTCTAGTGTGCTTCCCGCTTATTACTCATTGGCGTCTAGTGTAGGTGTGCCTAGCTTAGCCTCCCCTGCTGCGTCAGGCGTAGGAGCCCCTGCTTTGTTTTGCCTTGGTGCCTCCGCCGTCGCCGCGTCGCCGGACGCCACTGCTTCGCTTTCCTTCACCTTGGACTCTGGCGCTTCCCGGTGCTTGTTCCGCGACTTCACTACACTGACGCCGCTCCCTGTTCCTGCTGCTGTTTCTCTTGCTGACCCCTCCGGCGGTCCGGTAGTCGCCCGCAGTTCCACCACCCTTCCCTGTCCGGCAGTTCCTTTGGGCTCTCTCACACGTCTGCATATCCCCTCGTTCTCCAGGAACCTAGTTGGTGTCGGCTGCCTCCAAGACCTTGGCGTCACCACTACGTTCCCTGGTCACGAGCGGTATGCTGTCTGTACTTAGGCTGCCACAGGTGCCCCCTTGTCCACGTTCCCCCGGGACCTGATGTCCGGCCTGTTCACCCTGGACACAGTGACCCCCTCGGCTAGGGCGCCTTTACAGGTGGCTACGTCTTCCCCGGTTGCTGCTGCCTGCTCCTATCGATCTCTCACTCACCCGACTCTCCATTGGCACCACTACCTAGGTCACCCTGCGCTCCTGCGTCTGCGTCACATGTCCCAGTACGGTCTCGTCCTTGGTCTCCCTTGTTCGTTCTCCGCTTTTCCCTCCTCCCCCGCCCCGCCTCGCACTCCTTGCGTCGAGGGTCGGCTTCGCCGTGCCCCCCACTCCTCCTCGTTTCCCCCTACCGCCGCGCCGCTGCAGACCCTGCACATGGACGTCTGGGGCCCCGCCCCCGTCCATGGGCCGCGTCGAGAGCGCTACTTCCTTGTGCTCGTCGACGAATTTACTCGCTACACCACAGTCTTTCCCCTGGAGCGGAAGGCCGACGTGCCTGACGCTCTCATCCCCTGGCTTGTCACTGCGCGTGTCCAGCGCGGTCTCCCTGTGTTGCGCCTTCACTCCGACCGTGGTGGCGAGTTTGCCTCAGGTGTCTTTGGTTGCTTCTGTCGTGCGAAGGGCATCACCCAGACGTTCACCCTGCCGGACTCCCCACAGCAGAATGGGGTCGCTGAGCGACGCATCGGCTTGATCATGGAGGTTGCTCGCACCTGCATGATCCATGCCGGTGCACCCCATTTTCTGTGGCCGCTCGCCGTGCGCTACGCCTCTCACCAGCTTAACCTGTGGCCACACCCTCAGCAGCCGCAGGTTTCGCCGACCCGTCTTTGGACCGGGTCTCCTGGTGACGCGTCTGCGTTCCGCGTCTGGGGCTGCCTTACTCACGTTCGTGCCTCTGGCACGGACAAGCTCACTGCCCGCACACTTCCCTGCGACTTCCTCCGTTTTCCCCTAGACGCGTCCGACTGGCACTTCTACCACCCCCCGTCTCACCGCTTCTTTCACTCTCGCGACGTCACCTTTGAGGAGTCCGTCTCCTTCTACCGTCGCTTCCCCCACCGCGGTCCCCCGGTTACTCCCCCCCTGTTCCTGGTCCCTCCTTCCCCGGTGGTCCCTGCCCCCCCCCCTCCCCCTCCCCGTCCTGCCCCCTCATGTGTGTCCCACGTCACCCCTCTCCCGTCGGTTGTCCCGGGTGAGGAGTCTTCTGACTCTGGTGGCCCTGCGGCGCAGTCCTCGCCCTTTGCCCCTCCCCCGATGTCTCCTCTTCCACCGCCTCTGCAGCCGCCGTCGCCTCTGCAGCTGCCGTCACCTCTGCTATCGCCGCCGTCGTCCCCGCAGCCGCCGCCGCCGTCGCAGCAGCCGTTCGTTGCCCCTGGGGGTGCCGGCATTGGAGTGGATTCTAGCCCCGGTAGCCCTGGGGGTGGTGCCGGTGCTCGAGGAGTTTCGGGCCCTGGGGGTGTTCCTTCTGGGGGTGCTGGAGTGGAGTCTGTCGGTGGTAGCCGCGGAGCAGCTTGTAGTCCCGGTGTCGGCGTTGTGCCACTTCAGCAGCATTCCCCGCCAGTGTCTGCCCTTCGCCTGCTCGGCCTTCCGTCCCCTGACTCTGCGTCCGTTCCTCTCCTCCCGTCTCCTCCTCTCCCCGTGTACGGCCCTGTGTTCCCTCTGCCGGACTCGTCCCCGGCTCGTCTTGCCCCTCGCTCTCCCCTTGTGTCCCCTCCTCTGTCTCCCGACCTGACTCCTTCGTCTCACTTCTGGTCTCACCGTCCCTCCCGTGCTCGTCCTGTCTCCCCTGTCACCCGCTCTCACCCTATGTTGCTTCGCTCCCACGCATCTCGTCCTCCCCTTCTCCCGTCCCCTCCTCCGTCCTCCCTTGTCGTTGCTCCCCCCCCTCTGTCTGACAACCTTCGTGCCGCTCGTCCTCTCGTTCCTCGGGTCCTTGCCTCTCTCGTTACCGACCCGTCTGTTCCGATTTCGTGCCTTGACGCTCTTGTCCCTATGGTCGCTGACTTCGCCTCTACCCGCCGCCTTGACCACGCCACCGCTCTCGTCTCTGACCTTGCCTGTCCTCCATGTGTCCGGGGTGCTCCTTCCCTCAGCAGTAACGTCCTGGAGGACCGCCAGTTCGAGCTTGCTTTCCTGTCCAAGGCTGCTCCCTATCTCTGTTCTATGCTTCTAGTCCCTGTGGGTGACCCCGACGCTTTCGACATCCTGACCCCTCGCACTTACGCTGAGGCGACCTCGGGACCCTGGGCCTCCCAGTGGATAGCTGCCATGGAGCAGGAGATGGCATCTTGGAGATCCACCGGCACCTTCGTCGACGCAGTTCCCCCGCCTCGGGTGAACGTAGTCGATGGCCGCTGGCTCTTCAAGGTGAAGCGCCCTCCTGGAGAGCATCCTTGTGTACGTGGATGATCTGATGTTTGCCACAGCAGACAGGGACGCACTGGCCTCCGTGAAGGCAGAGCTGCTGAAGAGACACACTTGCACTGACCTTGGAGAGCAGCGCCGTTGCCTTGGCCTGCAGATCTCCAGGGACAGAGCAGCCCGCACCATTACCTTGACTCAGTCACACTTGGTGAGCCAGGTCCTTCAGAGGTTCGGCCTTCAGTTCTCCTCTGCACAGCCCACCCCTCTGCCTCTAGCCCACAGACTCTCCGCTCTAGTTCCTGAGGAGTCAGTAGAGCCCAGTGGTCCTTACGCAGAGCTGGTGGGTTGCCTCATGTACCTGATGACTTGCACTCACCCAGATCTCGCATACCCTCTCAGCATCCTGGCTCGCTTTGTGGCCGCTGGGAGACACTGACCGCAGCACTGGTCTGCCGCTAAGAGGGTTTTGCGTTATCTTGCAAGTACATCAGGCATGGGGTTAGTGCTAGGAGGACGCAGGCCAGTGGTCCTTAGTGGACACACAGACGCTTTGTGTGCAGACGACGCTGAGACACTCAGGTCTTCCCAGGGCTACTGCTTCAGCCTTGGTTCAGGTGCCGTCTCGTGGAGAGCTACCCGCTCCTCGTCTGTTGCCCAGTCCAACTGTGAGGCCGAGATCTACGCTGGTGCCATGGCGGCACAGGAGCTCCGCTGGCTGACTTTCTTGCTCACCGACTTAGGCGAGCGGCCTAGCTCTGCCCCGGTCCTGTACGCTGACAACAGGGCCATGATCCTCATGTGTCATGAGCCTCGACTCAAGGGCAGAGCGAAGCATATTCAGCTGCGGTACTTCCTCCTGCGCGAGCTACAGCAGCGCCGCCAGGCCCGCGTAGGACACCTGGCCTCCGGTGCCAACACAGCTGATATCTTTACGAAGGCGCTTGCGCCTAAAGATCATCAGCGGCACTGTGTACAGCTCGGTCTAGTCCC